TATCCGAAGAACTTTTAACTTATATTTCTTGCCGAATAGGTAAAATTGGTCAGCAAGAACTCATTTAAAATTAAATCCTTTCTAAAACTTTCTTTTATACGTTTAAAGATATATATTTTTTAATTTATGTTAATGTAAAAATTAATAATTTTGTACCAAAAGAACCTTAGAAAACTTACCTAACCTTATTACAACAAGCGCCATTTAATTTAGCCTAATCAAACTAAGTATATTTCACATAAGTTAACAATAATTTAATAAACAATGAAATATATTTTTTTCGTTAAGTTCAAACTGATTTTTGCGACATTGCATAAAAAAAATTTCGCTTGCCTTATTCGGCAAAAAGAGCTTTGATATTTAAGCCAAAATCACAAGTTTTACCTGTTCGGCACGACATTCACACATATACATATATATATATAAATATATATGTGTATATATATATATATATATATATATATATATATATATATTTATATATATATATATAATATATATATATATATATATATATATATATATATATATATATATATAATATGCAAAACAACCACTGTGAAAGAGTAGTGAAATTCCAAGCGCTTTCGTGACTGTGAGATATAGTCTAAGCCCTTTTATTGCCTTCCTTTGATGTATTACTTTCATAGTTCCTTGACAATGTGAGTAGTCACGAAAGCGCTTGGAATTTCACTACTCTTTCACAGTGGTTGTTTTGCATAATTTAAAATCACCTGTTTACTGTGATCTTATTGCATATATAATATATATATATATAATATATATATATATATATATATATATAAATATATATATATATATATATACTATGAGGAACTCTCAGCTATTTTCCAACACTAAATATCTTCATACTGTCAGTAAAAACACTCAGAACTCACCAGGTGGAGGTGTCTGCTGGTCAAGTTTTAAAAGGTGATATTGTAGCCAGCCAGAAGCACACTGGCTGAACTTTCCCTGTGATCTGTAGGAGGAATTTTTCCCTAAGTACTGGGGAGGACTGACGTTGTAGTCAGCCATACGCACCCTAACTGAACTCTCCCTGTGATAACAGGAAGGAAAAACGCTATACTGTACTTGAAACAACAACTATAAAAGAATAGTGAACTTCCATGTGCTATGGTAATTTCTCACATTATAAAGGAACAGTTCTTTGATATATTCACTGTTTTTTCAGTGGTTGTGATATCAACTGTTTACTGTTTACCATTCGTTCGTGGTTACAATAATATTTATATGCTGCTAGTGGGCTAGTACACCATACGGGGAGGAGAGTGAAATTAGCTTAGAAGCTCCCACACCTCCGTATGTCCTCGGATGGCGGTAAAACACCTAGCTCTGCTGGCTGCGTCCATTCTTTGTAAGATTTGGTGGTCCTTTGGGTTAAAGCATCATGTGGTTCTCGCTTACCATGAGGCGGTTCAGTACAACATGGGTTCGAGTCCTTGGCTTGTGCAGTGTTGTTATTGATCAATACCATCGTTCGTGGTATTGATTCGGATTCACGAGTGTACAACATCGCTTCACAACTTCAGCGGGCTCCCTTGTGATTGGCTGGTTGAACCAAGGTACCAGCATAACGATGGGGCCCCTAATCATTATACTCTTAGCACCTGGTTCGCTGGTAGGGAGGCGTGTCTATTTGAGTGTGACATGCCGAATAAGATGTAACATACTTTTATCATTCCACATAATCCTACAGTCGAATGGTTTTACATCCCTTAAATCCTAAAAATCAGTGGTGCAAGAAAGAGTTGCTTCTGTTACCACATTCTTTTTTCCCTTTCTCGCGCTTCCCCTTTCTTCTCTCTCTCCTGTGGTTTCTTCTGTCTTGGGTGTTTAGTCCATTAATATTTTTTCCCTACTCTGTGTTCTTGTTCCTACCCTTTGCGGGCCCCTAGCTCCCTTGCAGTGCTCCTCTTTGACTCCACGACTACTACTACTACTACTTCCACGACCACTACTACCACTATTACCACTACTACCACCACAACTACTACCACCACCCACTACTACCACCACCCACTACTACCACCACCCACTACTACCACCACCCACTACTACCACCTACCTACCTACTTACCACCACCACCACCTCCTCCTCCTCCTCCTCCTTTCCTACTACCTCTCTTGTCCCGTCCCTGTCTGCTGACCCATGTATACTCCCTCCTTCTCTCCTTTTTGTTCGTGTGACTTAGTAAATGGTCCAAGTCGGACCGAAACGTCGTCGTAAGCTCTTTCTATGTGCGAGTTATTTGTGTATTGTTCCAGTCATGGTACTGAAATCTTGATCTAAAATAACCGATTGAATTATCAATACCTAAAGCCAACTCTGCTAGAGCACAGATTTTTAAATCCGAATATTTTCCTAAATACAGGTTTAAGTGCGTTGAATTTTTTTTTATTTCTGCTTTCTTAAGCAAACGGCGTAATAAATTATTTTTCGACTTGTAATAGTATATTTTTAGTTGAGATCAGATTCAAATATTTACCTATCGTGTAGAAATCTGTTCTCAAAATTACGTGCGCTGTTTAGAGTCAGAAATATTGAAAAAATGAGGCACTTGTGCAACATCTGGGAATTTTTACTGTGGCATCTTCAGTCCAATACAGAAAAGAAGGATGGCAGATGAGTTTTAGGAAATCAGTCCCTCAGGGTGAAGTCGATGTGTTCAGTCCATGAACCTATAAAAGGTAGCTGGTTGTCCTTTTGTTCTTGAATAGTAAATTTAATTATTCTAGACCAATAATGGAACCGAGGATGTTATGTAAGATGAGATATTTAAGCAGAATTTCTAAATTATCGTCAACATATTGCAGCCATTTGACTGAATTGCGGTTAGTAAAAATTCGGCTGGATTCTGAGTCTTCCACATAGAAGTTGGTCAGGACTGCGCTGATGGGACAGTCCATTACTAATTACTAACCATTACCCATTACTAACCCATTATCTTCGAAACTGAAGTAACTATAACGCACATTAAGTTCAATTAAGCCTACGAAATCTTTGCAAGGTACTGGTCAGTCTGCGTCACCAGTAATCACCCTACGTAGGAGGTCGATAGCTTGGTTCACTGGCACGATAGTGAATAGGGCCGTAACGTTACAACTTGCGTGCTTCATATCGTTAACGTCAGGGTCTTTAATGCGGCTCAGGAGGTCGCCCGAGTGCTGGACTAATTGGCCCCTTGAGTTTAGATAAATATTATACCACAACACAACCGCCATCTTGTGCGGGACACTAATCGATACCTGATGTAATGGGCCTGAGCCCAACCTTACCAAAGGTTTTTGCTGATCAGGAGTTCGTGGTGAAATATTTCACTTAAACGTCTTGAACCGTACATATTTGCCCTTTTCCGCAATGTTTTGGAACCACCATACTATTTACAGCCTTTATTTAATTTGATTTATGGGTCAAATTATTAAATCAGTTCAGAAAACGTCAGAATTCACCCAACTTTCATTCCACTTCATAAAAATATCAGTGTATCTGTTTCACGTCATGTGCCCCTCAAGGAAGGTTCCTTGATGTTGGTGAGGAGCTCTTGATTTAGGGAATTGGATCTGTGCTCCAGTTCCCCGAATTAAGCCTGAATGCCTTCCACATATCCCCCCCCCAGGCGCTGTATAATCCTCCGGGTTTAGCGCTTCCCCCTTGATTATAATAATTCACGTCATGTGACTCGAGTTTTTTGGTGAGGAAATATTAACTCAAAGTATATATGTTAATGTGAGGGCAAGATTCTCAGCACCCGGAGTATACCTGGGGGGTATTTCGGGGGTCAATGACCATGCCCCGTGGTGGATCAGGGTCTTATCAACCAGGCTGTTACTGCCGGCCTTACACAAACCGACGTACGAGCCACAACCCGGCTAGCCAGGTACTGACTTGAGGTGTCTGTCCAGCTCCCTCTTGAAGACAACTAGGAGTCTATTGGTAATCCCACTTATGTATGCTGGGAGGCAGTTGAACAGTCTTGGGCGCTCCTCCTGTTCAATGGGGGGGGGGGGATGTTGCACAATTTTTCTTGCTATTTGAAGAGTGAATTCTTTGAACATAAGAACATAAGAAAGGAGGAACACTGCAGGAGGCCTGCTGGCCCATACTAGGCAGGTCCTTTACAATTCATCCCACTAACAAAACATTTGTGTTGTCTTTGTTTTCTGCAAATTGCAAAGCAACATCTATGGAAAATTCTGTGAAGAGAGAATTAGAATTATTATTTAGCATTTGTATGGCTCTGGTGGCCTGGTGGTTAACGCTCTCGCTTCACACGGTGAGGGCCTGGGTTCGATTCCCAGCCAGAGTAGAAACATTGGACGTGTTTCTTTCCACCTGTTGTCTATGTTCCCCATCAGTGGGTACCTGGGTGTTAGTCGACTGGTGTGGGTCGCATCCTGGGACACTGACCTAAGGAGGCCTGGTCACAGACCGGGCCGCGGGGGCGTTGACCCCCGGAACTCTCTCCAGGTAAACTCTCCAGGTAAACAGTCAACAGGTAGAATTTACAAAATAGGAAACTGTTCATTGTCTTTCCATAAGAGTTCCAGCTGAAGCAATTTCCTAACCCAGTATTTTTTTGGCCGAGCGGATTTTAATCTGTTTGAAAAAAAAAAATATTTTTCCGTGTGTGCTTGGGTGAATGTGTGTTTTTTTATGAGATCCTGGCAGTGTGAACTATTTTATTGCAAAGACCTTTGTATGACCTTTAGATCCCAGAGCTCGGTCAATTTTTTATCTCTTCTTGCAACGTCGACATTAATTCCTTATTGTGGTAAAGAACACGTGTGTACATTTCAGGACATTTATTAAAGGTAACGTTTGCCACGAGTGGCTTATTTAGTCCTAAACTGCTGAAGGCACACGTGGCTAAACGTTAACTGCAATAAATGTACCGTATTGTACACTAATGCCTTTTTCCACTGTTTGTTGGGATCATCATAATATTTGCAACCTAATTCCCTATTCTCTCCTGCAGGGTTTGAGCGAGGGGTCCCCGGGTACCCTCGCTACCAGTACCTGGGGGACCCCAGCAAGGGGGAACACCACCTGGTGATCAAGGGAGTCACCCTTGAAGAGGACGGGGAATACCAGTGCCAAGTGGGACCCACTGCCACCACTTTACCCATCTGGGCAGCAGCTAATGTCACCGTCATGGGTAAGTCGAGGCAAGTGTAGCAAGTGGAACTCACCACCACAACTTTAACCAACAGGGGCACCAGAAAAAAAACCATACCACGAGCGGAGCTTAAACCCGCGGTTAGAGAGTCGTACAACTCCAGACCGATGCGTTAGCCACTGGGGCAGCTGGCTATAATAAGATTCATCTAACTAGGCATATTTATATACCAAGGAAGGTTAGCATAGGCACCAGCTGGTGGGAGATTTGTCTGTAAAAACTTGCATCTGTGGTTACAGTGATGCCTATGCTAACCTTTCTATGGTGTATAAATATACCTAGTTGGATGAATCTTATTGTAGCCAGTTGGCCCAGTGGCTAACGTGTCGGTCTTGAGTTTTACGGCTCTCTGATCGCGGGTTCAAGCCCTGCCCATGGTATGGTTTGTTTGCAATCGTGTCATTACGATTTCTTGAGTCATGAGCACTAGTTTATCTCGATAACATTGCCAATCCTGGGAGCTAGTAGCAAGACCCACCCTGCCAACTGGGCAGTCGATAATATCACCATCACTGGTAAGAGTTTACGTGGACAAATTCTTTAACCAGTGTTACTCGTAAGAGGAATAAAACTCCGGCAATTTGTTTAGCAAGATTTTGTTTAACGTTTTGCTTTGATACCGAGCTTGGAGAGCAAATATTTTTCGTGTGTGAAATAGTCAACCATATTATCAGTGGGTAAACGCCTTTAGTTACCCTATACTATACCCGTTCCCCGTTTTCTGTCGACAGGACAGAAAACGGGGAACGGGTATATTATAGTTATATATTGCTGTATGATCCTAGTAGGTTTAGCGCTTTATTTTGATTATAATAGTCATATATCGGAGAAAATTACTTAGAAAATAAAGTTAGAAGATGAACTTAGAAAATAGCAGTGTGATGGTGATTAATATTAGTTTTTTTATTTCTACAAGTATACGGTGCAACTTATACAGACCACAGCTGACATCAATGACATATTGTATAGAAAGTCACTTGTTATGCAGAGAATTTCAGGCAACTTAGGTTAATATTGTCCCCAGGATGCAACCCACACCAGTCTGCTAACACGCAGGTGCCTACTTCTAGGTAAACAGGGCAGACCAGAGGCCTAGCTTCTCCCTACGAGCCCCGTGAGGGCGGGGAATGTGGCTAGGCCTGGGGACAGTTGGTCCCAAAGATGAGGGGGTACTTGTACCTCCTCCCATGGGAGACTTAGGTCTCGAGACACTCCCCAGATAGGGAGCCAAGGCCGGGTCACCACTACTTGGAAAAGACCCGGGCCGGGAGAATACCGGCGAATAAAAAAAAAAAAAGGGACAGCAGGTGTTTTAACAAGTCGGTAGAGAATACGTGACACACACATAAATGTATCTAAAAGCACATATACAGAAAATTAAATGCGAGGGAATAACTCTGGTCAGTGAGGCATTCCAGGATGTGACATTAAATGGTTAGGAGTAGAGAAATGGTTATAAAAATGACCATAATTTTTAAAGGGGTGGAACGGTAAGCCAGCGGAAGGCCTCGGTCAGATGACCAAAAGCTCCAACGGCGGGTCATCATCTAAGACCCGCGTCAGGAGTCACTTGTCCTGTTTCCTGACGAACCTTACCTAACCAATTAAATGGTTTGGTAATATCGACAGGATGTGGTAAAAGGACTACAGTTCCAGGACATTTGTTAAGGCAAACGTCTCGCCACGCGTGACTATTTCAGTCCAAATAATATAGTCACCCTGTGGCGAAACGTTCCTGTAATAAATGTCCTTATCTCCTGATCTGTACGAAAGTCTTGTTCCAAATGCAGGCTGTGCACCAGATAGGCTTGTGCACCAGGCAGGCTGTGCACCAGGCAGGCTGTGCACCAGGCAGGCTGTGCACCAGGCAGGCTTGTACACCAGACAGGCTTGTGCACCAGGCAGGCTTGTGCACCAGGCAGGCTGTACACCAGGCAGGCTTGTGCACCAGGCAGGCTTGTGCACCAGGCAGGCTTGTGCACCAGACAGGCTTGTGCACCAGGCAGGCTTGTACACCAGACAGGTTTGTGCACCAGGCAGGCTTGTGCACCAGGCAGGCTGTGCACCAGGCAGGCTGTGCACCAGGTTGAGCGAGACGTCGTTAGTAAAGCTTAATTATAGCTGCCTGTGCGTGTTTTTCTTAAGTTTTAGTATTTATCAACATTAATTAACCACTAAATTATCATATTGTTTTGACTCACGAAGTCGTAATAACAAAAGCGTAAACAAACCACTGAACGTGTGGGGTTTGAACCAATGGAATAATGGCCAAGTGGTTTACGCACTGGCCTGGAGTTTTACGACTCACTCGCCATGGGTTCTAACCCCTCCCGTGCCGTGGTTTATCATATGAACATCTGGCGAACTGGCAAGTTTGTGTAAGTTAAGGAATTTGATATCACGAAGCATCTCTAGTTCAGTGTTATATGTGGGCAGTGCTGATGTGGGCAGATTCTCAAGCAGTTTCTGTCTCTGTCTACTGGACGTCTGTCGATTTCATGACCATGTTGTAGGTACTTCGATGGAGTTGAAGATTGAGACACCTATGCAGCATATGGGAATCTTTATTCAGGAAACGTTTCGCCACACAGTGGCTTCATCAATCCAATACAAAGAGGAAGGAGTAAGGAGAGGAGGAGTATGAGGTAATCAGTCCCTCAACACATCGACTCCAGGTTGAGGGACTGATTACCTCATACTCCTCCTCTCCTTACTCCTTCCTCTTTGTATTGGACTGATGAAGCCACTGTGTGGCGAAACGTTTCCTGAATAAAGATTCCCATATGCTGCATAGGTGTCTCAATCTTCAACTTGTCGGTTTTTCAAAACCATTCATCACTTCGATGGAGTATACCTGGAGTATACCTGGAGAGGGTTTCCGGGGTCAGCGACCCCCCCCCCCCGGCCCGGTCTGTGACCAGGCTTCGTATATATGTAGTGTTTGTGTTATGCATTCTGTGTGACTGTCCCGAGAAATTTCCCTCTGCGTAATATTTGTCGTCGTCATCACCTACATTATCGTTTTAATTATCATCATCATCATCCAGGAAGTTTTAATTAAACTGCCTCATTTTCTAATCAATATCCATTCCGGCTTTGCAATACGACGTAATAATTATCTTCACTGGAGCCGGATGGAGTGGAGACGTGAGCCTTTCGTGAGCTATTCTGCCGCTAAATACTAGTACTGGCATAAATCAACACAACTGCTGGCAACTACTAGTACTACCACTACTACTACCACTACTACAACTACCACTACCACTACTACCACCACTACTACTACCACCACCACTACTACTACTGTTACTATTACTACCACTACTACCACCACTACTACTACTACCACTACTACCACTACTACCACCACTGCTACCGCTACTACTACCACTACTACTACCACTACTACTACCACCACTACTACTACTAAAATTACTACTACTACCATTACTACTACTACCAATACTACTACTACTACCACTACTACTACTACCACTACTACTACTACCACTACTACTACTACTACTACTACTACCACTACTATTACTACCATTACTACTACTACCAATACTACTACTACCAATACTACTACTACTACCACCACTACTACTACTACCACCACTACTACTACTACCACCACTACTACTACTACTACTATAGCCTCGCTACGCTCGTTTCTGACTCTTGTGTCACTACCACTACCCCTATTTACAACTACTACTACCACCTTTATCACTACTACCACTACTTTCTCTACTACTTTTTATTCTACCTCTCCTCTGTACCCCATCCCTGCCCTACTATCGTATATACTAGCCCCATCCCTGCCCTACTATTGTATATACTAGCCCCATCCCTGCCCTACTATCGTATATACTAGCCCCATCCCTACTATCGTATATACTAGCCCCATCCCTGCCCTACTATCGTATATACTAGCCCCATCCCTGCCCTACTATCGTATATACTAGCCCCATCCCTGCCCTACTATCGTATATACTAGCCCCATCCCTACTATCGTATATACTAGCCCCCTTTCTTTCTGTAACTAGTTAATGGTCTAAGTCGGACCAAAACGTCGTTAAAAGTTTGTCTTCTATGTGCGGGTTATATGTGTAATTTAACATTGCTAGTTAGTAAATTACTAATCTTGTGCAATTTAACATTGCTACTTAGTAAATTACTAATCTTGTGCAATTTAACATTGCTAGTTAGTAAATTACTAACCTTCTTGTGCAATTTAACATTGCTAGTTAGTAAATTACTAGTGCAATTTAACATTGCTAGTTAGTAAATTACTAATCTTGTGCAATTTAACATTGCTAGTTAGTAAATTACTAACCTTCTTGTGCAATTTAACATTGCTGGTTAGTAAATTACTAGTGCAATTTAACATTGCTAGTTAGTAAATTACTAACCTTTTTGTGCAATTTAACATTGCTAATTAGTAAATTACTAACTTGTGTAATTTAACATTGCTAGTTAGTAAATTACTAACCTTCTTGTGCAATTTAACATTGCTAGTTAGTAAATTACTAACCTTCTTGTGCAATTTAACATTGCTAGTTAGTAAATTAGTAGTGCAATTTAACATTGCTAGTTAGTAAATTAGTAGTGCAATTTAACATTGCTAGTTAGTAAATTACTAACTTGTGCAATTTAACATTGCTAGTTAGTAAATTACTAACTTGTGCAATTTAACATTGCTAGTTAGTAAATTACTAACTTGTGCAATTTAACATTGCTAGTTAGTAAATTACTAGTGCAATTTAACATTGCTAGTTAGTAAATTACTAGTGCAATTTAACATTGCTAGTTAGTAAATTACTAGTGCAATTTAACATTGCTAGTTAGTAAATTACTAGTGCAATTTAACATTGCTAGTTAGTAAATTACTAACTTGTGCAATTTAACATTGCTAGTTAGTAAATTACTAACTTGTGCAATTTAACATTGCTAGTTAGTAAATTACTAACTTG